TCAACGCTTTCCTGTTCCGGCTGGCAACTCACCCACTATGGCTGGCAAGTCACCCGCTTTGGCTGGCAAGTCACCCGCTTTCTCTGGCAAATCACCCGCTTTCTCTGGCAAGTCGCCTGCTTTGGCTGGCAAGTCAACCACTTTCTCTGGCAAGTCACTCGCTTTGGCTGGCAAGTCACCTGCTTTCTCTGGCAAGTCACCCGCTCTGGCTGGCAAGTCAACCGCTTTCTCTGGCAAGTCAAACGCTTTCTCTGGTAAGTCAACCGCTTTCTCTGGCAAGTCACCCGCTTTGGCTGGCAAGTCAACCGCTTTCTCTGGCGAGTCACCCGCTTTCTTTGGCAAGTCAACCGCCTTCTCTGGCAAGTCACACACTTCGTCTGGCAAGTCACCCCTTTCAGCTGCCAAAACGCAGACCAATGCTGAAACAGAAAAACGACGTTACGGCTTGTACATGAATAATCGTGCATGGACATGACATGCAGGGTATGCCCTGTTGTTGTTTCCTTTTCATGGATCAAGATGTGGTGGCGGCTTCATATCATACAAGAACCGAAAAGCTATTGTAACGTTTTCAAGAGGCCAACACACTTAATTCATTCCACCTGGTTTCTAAATCATGGGTCCCAATCTATATACCCATTACACCAGTTGGCCTGCCGAGAGCATCTCACAAAGCACGCAACTCTGTATCTTCTGTAACGACATCTAGGATTCTATGAGCCCTAGCAAACCGAACATCCGAGTATGGGATTAAACCCTGTAGAAGTTAATCTTGAAACTACAGGCTTAATCCCTTTGCAACATGCACAGATCTTCAGGTTTCCTCGATGTTTTTTGGAGAAATGTACAACGTCAACTATGTTTAACTTCTGAAGCCTGTAGCAAATCACAGTATTCTTCTAGTTTTAAGATTACAAGGGAATCGCTTAGATTTCCTTCCATGAACGTTACTATACAAAAGCGACATGAGGCATACTACACGCGCATAGGCACCTATATGCTTGATGTACATGTTGATTGACAAAAGCGGTAGATCTATTGGTAAATCAATTGGTCGACGTCTACAGAATGGAGGTTGGTTGCAGTGGATCGCAGATTAATATCGTCTTGGATATACACTTTCTCACATTGACTATAAATCTATCTCTAGTTGTGATCTTCCAACTTGTAAGCGCAACCAAGCCAAACATTTTCACCCCTGCTTCTGTCGGCCCTTGCTTGACAGAATGTTGAATGACATCCCAGCACTCGGGACACCCCCACAAGCGCTACGTCCCCATCTTCAGCAGCAAGCGAAGAGTTAAAATTCCGATGGTACAGTAAGTTTCTAAATGTAAATCCGTATCGCTTTTCCCCTGAGTGTCGAACGTCGGTCAGATTCCTTTGTAACTCCTCGCAGTGTCATTCACCTCAAACTGTCATGATCTATCTGTGCTTCGGCACTGTTCAGTCGCTCCCACACATTAGTTCACCAACAAGCTTGCACAACCGGCCAGTCCATCTACAGACTCACTTCCCAACACATCGGCGTGACCTGGAGAAAATATCCAAAGGATGCTAACTACCTAGAACTACCCAGCAAGACAGAAAATCTCTTAAGAAAAAAATCTTCCTAATGGATTGTCTAAATATTCGTTTCTATTTACAGATTTACGGTTCCAGACAATTTCCTCGTCTCTACGATCTTCTGGATAAAGATAGAGGTCAACGGATGAACATTCTCGGATAAACAGAACATCACAAACTGGGATAGTTTGTTCAGCTTCTGAACCGGTCCTGTAATTTAGCGGTTTTATGTATAACGACCAGAAGGTTCTTTATTATCCTACCCCCCCCCCCCCCCAGATGACGTCACAGGACAGTCCAACATTTTAGAGGGTTGTAAGACTGGGTTTCCTGGTTTTCTGATGCTTTTAAATACCCTGAAACATCTTGAACTGGTCCTAACCCCAACCCACCAACATCCAAAGAGAGAGTGCAGACTAGGTCCCACGACTGCATACAGCCTATCTATCACCCCTTGAAATATTAGACCGTCCCGTGACCTGTGGATTTTCCATGTTTGGGGTAAAATATTAATAAAGTAACGACTAGAATATAGAGTTCAACCAAAAGGTAAGACAAAACACAGATGAGTACATAAAAATTTGGTTTCAGTAAAGGCAGAGGGTGCATTTATGTATTAACACTGAAGTGAGTGTGAGGAAATCATAGCACACACATCCAACAGAAAACTGTGGGAATCAGGAGAGGAAGGGTGGATACAAATTAAGGCTTGTTCTTGAGATTTCTGGGATACGATTTGGAGACAATTGCTAGAACACATCACAACCATGTGTCAAACAAATCGAAGTCAAGAGGAACACACAAACGCATTCCACATATGTTCGCGATCAAAGCAGGTGTTAGACAGGAATGTGTACCTACCTCACATCAGTTTAACATTTATATCTACAGAATATCTAAAGAAGAAATTGTTAATACAGTCGACACATGTCTTTATAATCATGAAGAAGTAAACATCTCAGACGACGTAATTGAATCACCCGCATTAAACCAACTACTATATCCTGACGACTAGTGCTAGTTTAGGAGCGAGGAAGATATTCTTCAAGACCACATTAGCAGATTAAGCTCAGAATGCAGTAAAAACAATAGAAAGATTAATGCAAACAAAGCTAGAACAATGCAAGGCAATATAACACACGGTACACTACATACACAGCTGAAAGGTTTTGGTCTGAAAGAAGGTATGGAATTTAAAACTCTAGGAAGTATAATCATGGAAGATGACAGAATTCACAGAGAAATAGAATCCGTATGTGCGAAAAAAAAGTATACTAACATAGTATTTGTCTTCGTTATTAACTCTTTCCATCTAAACCAACGTACAGTGTGTATTCAGCCATGATAATTATGTATCCAAACAAAGTATGGTGTGTAATCACATATGTTACATTTCGTCTGAGCATTCTAAAGAAATCTGGCTAGATATGCTAACATATAGCACAGCATGTTGTCTCTTTAAAAGCAGTACACTCATGTATTTCAAACAAAATCTTCTGGGACTAAGAGAGTTAAGACATCTAACAGTAACTATTAGTAGGAAAACGGTTTTTAAAAAGCCAACAGAATAGTCATTGCAACATTGGACTACTTATATCAAACATGGACATTTTCGAATGTATATATACGCAAAATAACTAATTGCAAGATGACATGACTGTTTAAAAAAAACGAGCTAATTAATAATGACACTCTGAGACTGATTGTGAGATCAACACTGTAAACTAGATTAATCAGGAACCACCAGTAAGGTTAGAGAAAAGAATGTAAAGGAGCTACAACAGTAGTTAGGCACAAAAAGCGAGATTACACGAACAACTTTGTCATGGATATGGAAGCTAATCATCAGAACCACGAATCCGGAAAGTTTCCCCCCCCCCCCCCCCAAAGAACTGAAGGCTGTAAAATGAGGACATCAACAAAGCATTTAAAGTTTAAAAGATAACAATGGTAACATGGTAAATAATAATGAATAAATATGTAACAGGTGAAAAAAATACTTTGCTGAATTGTTAAACTGTGAAACTCCACTTAATACTTTTCCACATGAAGAGATATTGACACGTGAACCAAATATTGAACAGCATGATTTTGAACAAGTACTGTATGTCATAAAAAGGCTTAAAAACAATAAAGCAACTGGTGCTGATGGAATTGCTGCTGAACTAATAAAAAAAGGGGGTCATGCATTACATGTAAAATTATATGAATTAATAAAACTAGTTCGGAAGTCGGAGAAATTACCCTATGAATGGAAAGTGTCTTTATTAATAGACATTTTTAAGAGATGAGACAAGTATAAGTTTGAACATTATAGAAGAATATCTCTATTATCTAAAAGCTAAACAGGCTAAAACCATAAGTCGAAACATATTAGGAGATTACCGAGCGGTTTTCCGACAAAACAGATCAACATTAGATCAGATATTCATTTTACGGCAAATAGCAGAGCAAAATTCTGAATATAGAGGAGTTGTACATAATGTTTTTGTGCATTTTAAAAGGCATATGATAGTGTACATAGAAACAGTTTATGGAATGCTGTAAAGGATTGTGAAATAACAACAAAGAAATTAGTTACAATGATCAAACTATGCATGAAAGACACTCGTAAATACAGCAATATTTAAAGACAGAAAGTCTGACCCTTTTAAAAATAAAATTAGGTTTGAAGCAAGGTGATGTTTCTCCCCACTTCTTTAAAACTTGGCCCTGGATGAAATTATAAGGAAATTGAAACAAGAGTAAATATATAGGAGAAACTAAAGTAATACTTGGTTATTCAGATGACATTAATATCGTTGCAGAAAATGAATTAGAGACTGTTAAAACACTGAATATCTTGAAAGAATCCGAAAAAAAAAATTAATCAAAAAAGAAAATAAGGATAGTTATCGATCAAGATAAGACAGAATACATGATAGTAACTAGACAGGGCACGGATATAAACTCAGGCCACACACAAGTTGATAAGATGAAAATCAAACTAATAGAAACTTATGAGTACTTGGGTGCAAACTTCAGCTGCTCCAATTTGCAGAGAGAAGAAAAACAATCTAGAATACAATCAGGAAAAAAGTATACTATGCCTTTCAATATCTGCCAATGTCAAAGTGTCTGTGTCGCAACACAAAGATCAAAATATATAAAACGTTGAAAAGACCAGTCGTATTATATATCTCTGAAACTTAGAGCACAAATGTAAGAGATTAAGCCTTATTACCGGTTTTCGAAAACATTCTTACGACGAATCTTTGGACCCATCAAAGATGCCAACAGCGGTTAATTAAAAGTGAGAAGCAGCAACGAAATTATTAATCTGTTTCAATCACCAGTGATCACAGGCGTCATGAAAGCTAACAGACTGAAATGGTTCGGGCATATTTAAAGAATGTCACATGACAGAGAAGAAAAAAAAATGTATACACAAGGGAGATGAATGGTCGTAGAGCACAAAGCAGACCAAGAAGACGATGGAGAGATAATGTCCAGACAGAACTGCAAACAATTGGTGTCACCAACTGGAAATAGAAGGCCAGCCAGAGAGATGAGTGGAGGCGGGTTATATCTGCAGCAATAAACCTCAAGGGCTCGGAACGCTGAAGAAGAAGGCCAACCTGAGAGATGAGTGGAGGCGAGTGATGTCTGCAGCAATGAACCTCAAGAGCTCGGAACGCTGAAAAAAAAAAAAAAGAAGCAGCAAATTAAGAGGTTTGGTCATTATGTTAGAATGCAGCAACATCAAAACTAATCACAGGCACTGCATCTCAAACATCAACTGCAAGAGCACAGAAAGGCCACGAGAAAAAGTTTTGCAAATGATCGTACACAGCAAACAACACAACATGTATTCAGAAACACTTACGGAGGACTGTGGTGAGCGCTTGCGCACAGAGCAAACCCAGGGATAACACACAACATACGGTTTTCATGTTGGATGATCGTTCAACCGTTTTGTGAAGACTCGTTGTAGATCTCTTAAACAGAGTGACAGTGTACTTGATTTTTTTTTTTTTTCACCCAGCAGGTGGTCAGTCTTGAATGGATAAATTCTCGTTTCTGAAAATCTCTACGGCATACAGGTACTAATACTATACAAATATATAGACTGGTTTCTTTGTTATAGGTGTCATTATCTAGACTGGTTTCATTGTTATAGGTGTCATTTGTAGCCGCTATTAGTTACTCTTTTTTTGAGCCTTCAAAGCATCATTCATGTTTTTTTTTTTTTTTTTTTGCCTGTTGAATTTCATGACATGATGTATATGAATCACAGCAAAAACAACAACAAAATGTACAGCTGTCGACCTGCATGTATTCAGGTAGCAACTAAGATAGAAATGAAATTAAAAGCATAAATAAAAATGACAAATTATTTAAATTGATTTCTGGAGATACCAGGGCATTTGTGAACAATTATTCTTTCCACACCTGACTGAAAAGACAAATCTAAAAACACGTCTACTATTTAATCCCTTCGGACATCCAATTACGTCCAAATTCCAAGATAGATTACAAAATCATGTAGGTTAGTACACATGAAAAAGGTCCTGCAGTTGAAACATCTATTCCGTTCTTTCATGTGCAGTTGTTCAAATAGTATGGATGCAATCCAGCCTAGCACTTGTGGTTTCTTCCTTCAGCGTTCGTCTCTAGGTTTCTCGTAGACGCCACTATTTCTTCAACGTATTTTTCTCCTATTTAGCAACTGTTGGCTTCTCCACAGGATGTGCTGAGTATGTCTTCCTTGTCTTATAAATGTAGATATCAGCGGTTTTTCAGACACATTCCTTGTCTTATAGCTGTCGACACCAGCGGTTGTCCGGACATCTCCCATGTCTTATACAGCTATAGATACCAGCACGTGTCCGGACATCGCCCATGTCTTATACAACTATAGATACCAGCGGTTGTCGGGACATCTCCTTTGTCTTATACAACTATAGATACCAGCGGTTGTCCAGACATCTCCCATGGCGCGTGTCTGGACATCTCCCATGTCTTATACAACTGTAGATACCAGCGTGTTTCCGGACATATTGCATGTCTTATACAACTATAGATATCAGCGCGTGTCCTGACATCTCCCATGTCTAATACAGCTATAGATACCAGCGGTTATCCGGACATCTCCCATGTCTTATACAACTATAGTGTCCGGACATATTCCATGTCGTATGTAATAAAAGATATCCCCGGTTGCCCAGTCTTATCCATCTATATTAATACAAATGTTAATTTTCTGAGTTTGTTAACTCTAAACTCGGAAACTACTGAACCGATTGCTTTTAAATTTTCACACAACGTTGTCTCTGACTCAAAGCGTGATTTCTTGTTTTAAAATTGCACAAATCACGAACGACGTAGCTGCAGCAACGGTCAAATCATTCTTTATTTCGTTGCCGACCGGATTTGTTTTTAGTTGATTGGCCGCCTTCGACTGCTGAACAAGGTTGCCAATAGATGCTTTTTTCCCTAGGATCAATTTCAGACATTTTTTTACCGATCGCTTTCAAATTTTCACACAACGTTGCCTTAGACTCCGCGCGTGTTTGTATGTAGGAGTTTTGCACAAACCACTAACGACGTAGCTCCAGCAACGATCATTTCAATAGTTATTTCGTTGCCAGTCCGGATTTTTGTTAGTCGATTGGCCACCTTTGACTGTGTAACAACGAATTTCACATTGTTATTGTATACTTTCTACAAAATGCTTGAGTATTTAGTAGCGTAGTTAGGTGTAAGCATTTCGCCTTTTACACGGGTGATAGGGGTTCTATTCCCCGCTGGGTGATATAAATTTTTGTGGGCCCCTAACTGGGTGGCTGTCACGTTTTGTTGTGGTTTATAGCTAGGCTGCAATATGTATGCTTTTTTTCTGTTCGATTTTTGGGGTTTACAGCTAGCCTGCGATAGCGGCGACGTGATGCTCAATGTTCATTTGTAAGTATTCTGCCCTTTACGCGGATGACCGGTGTTCGATTCCCCACTGGGTGCTAATTTTTCTTTTTCTCCTATAGAGGCGATTGGCACATTGTATTGTGGTTTACAGCTGCGCCTTGCGCCCAAAGACATCCGATTTCAGTACAGTCCAACTTAGCCTCCCCCCGACGCTTCACTCGATCAAAAACTATTCGTTGATGACAGAAACTGTTAACTAAGACGGCTTAGTGTCCACTTTGGTTCGGGTCGACACGGATGCCATGGTTAATTAAACATCGACCCTTCGGAGTGTAAGAGATGACGAGTGCGTGTTTTTATTTCCGCTATTTGTGAGTATAGTGTACTTTTTTTTTTAAATCACGGAATATTACTGTGGGTCCACCATTGGTTAGGTAATGGAGTTTTATATCGGGAACACACTTAAACTTAACAGTCCGTGACGACGGCATGCGGCGCTAACGCCTCTTTTCTACACCGACCTACAGAGACTATAGTGAAATTTGTTGTTGTTGTTGTTGTTGTGATGGTGGTGGTGGTAGTGGTTGCAGAAGTACTGGTACTGGATGGGTGATGTGGTAGCTGTTACACTGGCCACATTTACTTCTCAGTACACGTTAATGCTGCCTATTTAATGCTGGGTGGACACGGACGCCAAGCTCAATTTAGTTACAATATTTCGTCACCTGGTGACATTCCTATCCTTCGGCGGAGAGGATGATATGATTGGTAGAGGGGGAAGGGTTATGTCAGACACAGCTGGGAGAGCTTAAAATATTATTTTAAAGTTCTCATTTCCTTACTATTTCTATTATAATAATTTCGCCAGGTGATGATTTTTCAATCCTTCCGAGAGGGAGATATGAATGGTTAAAAAGGGATGGGGGAGGGTTATGCCAGACACAGTTAGCTGAGAGAGTTTAAAATATTTTTTTAAAGTTATCATTTCTTGACTATTTCTTTTTTAATAATTTCGCGAGATGATGATTTTTCAATCCTTTGGAGAGGGAAATATAAATGATTGGGGGAAAGGTGGGGGGGGGGGGGGGTTTGCCAGACACAGTTAGCTGAGAGAGCTTAAAATATCATTTTAAAGTTCTCATTTCCTAACTATTTCTATTTTAATTTGGCCATGGATGATTGTTCAATCCTTCGGAGAAGGATATATGACTTCGCCAGGTGATGATTTTTCAATCCTTCGTAGAGGGAGATATGATTGGGGGAGCGGGGGCGAGGGGGGGGGGGCTATGCCAGACACAGTTAGCTGAGAGAGCTTAAAATATTACTTTAATGTTCTCATTTCCTAACTATTTCTATTTTAATAATTTCGCCAGGTGATGATTTTTCAGTCGTACGGAGAGGGAAATGTGATTGGTGTGTGTGTGTGTGTGTGTTGGAGAGGGGGGGGGGGGCGTGGTTATGCCAGACACCGTTAGCTGAGAGAGTTTAAAATATTATTTTAAAGTTCTCATTTCTTGACTATTTCTTTTTTAATAATTTTGCTATGGATGATTTTTCAATCATTTGGAGAGGGAGATATGACTGGGTCGAGCTGAAAGGAGTTGGGGGGGGGGGGGGGGGGGGGATTTGACAGACACTGTTAGCTGAGAGCTTTTTTTCTTTTCTCTCCATTTAACCATTCTGGGCCACAGCAACGCGTGGCCGGGTACAGCTAGTTGTCTTATATAACAGTAGGTACCGACCGCGGTTGTCTAGACATCTGTGAACTTTCCTTGTATTACTTTGCTTTACGTATTACGTTTCTTGGATTCACCCCGTTTAATAAATATAATTATCAATAAGGTTATTATCGTTCTCGCCGGTTAATTCCTAAAATCAGTGTAACCACAGACATTTCTATTTGAATTTGGCAATCTTCGTAATGTAACTGGTCTCTTGCCCAACGTCTTCCAAAGCCGGAAAACTCATTGCCAAATTTTCTGCATGTGTACTTGTCCTTCGCTTGGTATCCTTAATACCTACCATGCGACCATCGTCGTTTTGGTCAACCACAACCTCTTCCTTTAACAACGGGCAAGGAGGAACATTTAGCTCATAGCAACTTAGTATTGTAGATATCATCCCACCACTGTATGCCAGTAAATTAGAACGCAAAAGCAGACGGCTTATCATATAATATATTGTGATCCGCTACTGTATGCCAGTAAATTAAAAGGCAAAATCTGACGGCTTATCAAACAATTTAATGCGATCCCGCCCGCTTCATTTCGTTATCCCATTAATCTACCCTAAGCTGTGGGCTTTACCCATAATACTGTACGTCGAGTGCTGATTGATCTGTTAAAAAACTTAGTAACTGTGGAGAAAAGCCATACTGCAGTAAATATATACTCCGAGCTTTCAGCTCGAATCCGAATCGCATCGAGTAATTAAATGGAACATATAGTTGTAAAGAGAATAATCAAATGGAACATAAAGTTGTTAAGGGGTAATTGAACGGAACATCTAGTTGTTAAGGGAATTATCACATGGAACATATAGTTGTCAAGGGAATAATTAAATGGACAAGATAGTTGTAAAGGGAATAATTGAATGAAACATATAGTCGTGAAGAGAATAATTAAATGGAACATATAGTTGTAAAGGAACTAATTAAATGGAATATGTATAGTTGTAAAGGGAGCCGCGAAAGTGTAGTGACGAGTAGCAGACTTATCGGTATAAAGGTCAAGGGTGTTAAAGGTTCAAATCAACACCCAGATAAACTTTGTTTTCCACTTAACTCTACAATGTGATTAAAGAACTAGGCTTACGAGGTAATGAACGCAAACGGACACTTAAACAACTGGGCGAGGTTGCTGAGAGGGCCTCAAGCTGGATATGGAACAACGTGGGGGATGGGCCTCGGTGAGCTGGTCCGGGTGTCTAGTGGAAAAGAATGTCTTATCCCTTAAAGTCCATCGTGTCCGAATTGTCCTGCAAGTGTCCCTCTGCCACCTGCCAACAAAGTCCAACATTTGTGCTGTAAACC